TATTTTATTGTTGTTGTTGTTTATTGTTGTTATTATTGTTGTTGTTATTATTAACAGATAAAGGTAGAGATAGTGAAGGTTGATGACAATGGCGACGAGGTTGTGAAAGAGACAACCTTCAGGAGAGAACTGCTCACGAGATGTCAGAAAGAATTTGAAAAGGATAAAAGAGACGATGAGACAAAGGAAGAAATGCTCAAAGCTTTAGAGGAGGCAGCACCGGTAAGTATTGAGACTCCGCCTACTGACACACCCATTTTAATTAAATTTATTTTAATTTAATGAGTTCATAATTAGCTTATGAGCCGTATCATTTTCTGTTTATCCATGTCCATGTTGTGTTTCTACATCTTGTGTATAATCTTAATTTTTATATAGTTACTATTATTATCATCATCATTGATTTACACAGTGTTACTATTGTTGTTCATTTATTATTTATTGTTATTGTTGTTGTTTATAGGAAGAGAAGAAGTTAAAAGAGGCTGAGCTGAAGGAGTGGGAAGATAAATCACGTAAAAGATCACTAGGGAACATCAGGTTTATAGGAGAGCTCTTTAAATTAAAGGTATACCTAAATGTACATGTACGTAATGTTGATTCACACACACACACACACACTGTGTACATATACATGTACATGTACTTTATTAATGAAATTAAGTGTTAATTAATTTAGATGTACTAGTACCTATACTACCTACATGTACTAGTACACACACACATGTACATGTACATGTGTGTGTGTTTTTAACTAGGACTGCATGTACATGTACATGTACATTAATTGTGTCTTGTACATACAAAAGTTCATGTATATGGTTTAAGTTTATAAATATCTTTTATCTCCCTCTCTCTCTCCCCCCCAGATGTTATCGGAGAGTATCATGCACGAGTGTATCGTTAGATTATTGAGATCAACGTCAGATGAAGAAGCATTGGAGTGTTTCTCAAGACTCATAACTACCACTGGGAAGGAACTGGACCATCCTCAAGCTAAAGTAAAGGAATCATGGCTTGTATTTGTACATATACAGTGTATGTGAAGTTTAATTTACTGTATATATTGGTCTTTGATTATTTACATGTATTATTATTATTGTTATTGTTATTGTTAATTATTATGTTAATTTTATAATTTTTTCTTTTTTGTTGTAGCAACGTATGGACAGATATTTTGACAGAATCAACGAAATCATTGACAAGAAGAAGATATCGTCAAGAATACGGTTCATGCTGCAAGATGTACAAGAAATGAGAAAGGTATTGCATCATAATAATATACAGTTATTGTGAGGTGTCCTTGATTCTCTTTTCTGTACTTTTATAATAATTAATGCAATTGCTGTTGAAATTAAACATTTAATATTTCAGTGTTTAAATGTACACATGTGCATTTGTATTGAAGAAACTGCATGTCTATGCATGCTTTTCTACTGTCTAAATTTCTTGATATTCTTGTACTGTATAGCCTATTATTATTATCTTATCATTATAACTTTATTTTATTTTATTTCTTGTTTATTAGAATGATTGGGTATCAAGGCGACAGGAGACTCTAAAGACCATAGACCAGATCCATCAAGAGGCTGAGATGGAGGCAATGCAGGAGAAGGAGATGATCAGGTCACTACAACCAGTATCAGGGAAGCAGTACGCTAGGGATGATAAGAAAAGAAGTATGTATAGTGTATAGGGATCTATATTACCATATGTGGTGCTGTATTGATGTTTATTTTATTTTGATAATTGCTCCAAAATTATACCCAAAGTCTCAGGCCAAATTTTGCAAAAATTGAAAAGTAGAGAATTCTTCATTTTTATAACTTTATCTGATACATATACATGTTTTTATGTTGTGCAAAAAGTTTGAGCTGATTCCGATAAAAATTGGATTTTTTTACGAATTTTTAAAGTTGCTCCAAAAGTCCCTGTATTATAGTACAGGGTCACGGACCAAATTTTGCCAAAAATAAAAAGTAGAGAATCCTTCATTTTTATAACATTTTCTTGTACATATACATGTTCTTATGTTGTATAGAAAGTTTGAGCTGATTCCGATCAAATTGGATTTTTTATGAATTTTAAAAGAGTCTCCAAAATCAGGCCAAAGTCCCTGTACTATAGTATAGTACATGGTCTCAGGCCAAATTTTGCCAAAATTCAAAAGTAGGCAATTCTCCATTTTTATAACTTTGTCTGATGCGTATACATGTTTTTATGTGGTGTAAAAAGTTTGAGCTGATTCCAATCAAAATTGGATTTTTTATGAATTTTTAAAGATGCTCAAAAATTGGGTAAAAGTCCCTGTACTATAGTACATGGTCTCAGGGCCAAATTTTGCCAAAAATGAAAAGTAGGGAATTCTTCATTTTTATAACATTTTCTGATACATATACATGTTCTTATGTTGTATAGAAAGTTTGAGCTGATTCCAATCAAAATTGGATTTTTTATGAATTTTTAAAGTTGCTTTATTATTATTATTATTATTATTATTTTATTATATTTTCAGGTAAAGGTGATGATTATTCCGGCAGTAGAAAAGGAGACAAAGCGACTGGAGGAAGGAGGGACTCAACTCCTGACGTATCAAGAATTCAAGCTCTTGGAAATAAAAGAGAAAAAGTAAACCCTTTCTATCACACTAAGCACGTTTTACTTGTTTTACTTGTTCCGTTTAGACCACACCCACTCTAGGCCCGGCTAGTCTCAGACCAGGTGGATGGAAGGGTGGGCGGAGTCAAGGCCAGACTCCTCCCCCTCCTGCCTCAGCGACTACTGATGTGAAGGATAAAGGACCAGCCAGTAAAGGACCACAAAGGTACATGTATGGATCAACCTACAAAATCATGTACACGTACATGTACTTGATGTGTATGTACAGTATAGTCTCTCTTAATGGACACTCTTTATAGCGTACACCTCCATTTAACAGACAGCACCTAGTGTACCAATTACATTCCTTACTGTATAAAATAACCTCCACATAAAGGACACCTCTGTATAACAGAGACACTTTCTTGCCCTAAAGCCTCCATTATATAGAAATACATTTATCATGTATGCGTGCATGTATACATGTATACTATATCCCAACTGAGTTTGACACCAGCCGCTTGGAATTTGAAAAATGTAGCCATACGTCACTAATGACGTCTAATAATGATATTCATAGAAACATGGCCGATATTTTACAGGTGCCTAGTTGGCCTGTATTTCACTTTTAAATGGGCTTTGTTTGTTCTGATAAGCAGTACAATAGCTGCTGGAGTCAACTAGTCTTCATATTAGCCATTATTATCAAAAGATCTTGCTCTGTTAGCTTTTAAAAAGAAGAATTATCAGTTTGGGCGCTCGAGCACATGTTCTTATGTAAACTATGACATAGATAAATTGTCATAAAACGTCATTTTGGTATGCCATTGGGTTTATAGGGAGAACCCGGTTCTCAGGGTTCCCAAGGGCTGAGAGACCCAAGACCTGAGATCCTGTGATGGCATTGGGCGACTAAGAACCTGTGAAAGTTTCATCCTTATCCCACATTCCTATAAAAAGTTATTCCAGTTTTTCTTGGGTCAAACTCAGTTGGGATATAGTATAGCATAGGGAAATTATTCTTACAATTTTTGATGTACAATCGTACAAGTACTTGTACAGTATGTAAATAATTGATAGCCTTGTATTTTGTGGAGCAACAGGAAATCTTGCTGATATTACATATAATATACATGCATGTACATATAAATTGTTGTTATACATTATTATTGTTGTTGTTGTCATTGTGTGGCATAAGGTAATGGTAATCAATCCTTCATTGGACTGATTAGTGTCTTTTATCTTTCAAATGACAACGTACAGTAAAGATGGCAAATGCATTGGTCTTAGGAAGTGTTGTGGTACTCCATACAACATATTTCACCTCCCAATGTACAATTAATTAATGCATCAATTATTATTAGTATTAATTTTTAGTACATTTATTATTATTATTCATACATGATGTTATTGAAGGATGGTGATGTGGCTAATTTTATTTTATACATTTATAGTACCTGCATGAGCAATTACTGTAAAATTACAATTAAATTACAATTGTATATACGCGTACAATTTTATTTGTAGCATTCATTTACATGTACATGTATTTTAAAGAGCACCATTTTCTCATTAAATTGTATTGTTTGATATTCTTATGAACCTGTTGATTGTTCTACCATACACTGTACATGTACTGTATTTTAATGATTAAATGCCTGGACGTTTATTTTGTAACAACAAGAAAAAATTTTATTAAAAAAAATAAAAAAGAAAATTTGGGCGGGACAGAACCCACAACCATTAGCAAACCAGACCAGGACTCTTAGCTATCAGTACACTGGAGCTATTTAAGCAGTGGGGGCATTATTTTTGGTATAAATATCTGTATCTATAGCTAGAATATAATTGAGACAAGCATTTATATGGACCATGCAGACATTTATACAGTAAAATACAGGATATTTATTGTCCCTATTATTAATAGGTCTAGTACTTCCGGTACTTCTAAGAAGTCGTCAACTACCACCACTGCTGGTGGGCGGGGCTCACAGCCTCAAGCAACACGTCGGAGCCAATCAGATGAGAAATCAGATACTCTTAAACTAGTGAAGGACTTTTTGAATCCACAGCCACCACCTGCAACTCAAGCCACGCCCACTCACACAACGTCAAAACAAGACAGACTCACTGAAGAGGTGGTCGAGAGAAAGACGACCACAATAATAGATGAACTGTCAGAGAATCAGGACTATAAGGTGTGTGCTAAAATTCCCAAAAAATGGCTCCAAAATCACCCCAAATTTTTATTACATTTTCTGATACATATTGATGTCCTTATGCTGTGTAGCAAGTTTGAGCTGATTCCGACTTCAATTTTTCAGGTTACAATCATTTTTTAAAGACTCCAAATTTCCAAAAAATGGATCAAAAATCACCGCCAATTTTTATTACATTTTCTTATGCATATTGATTTACTTATGCTACATGTACATGTGTAGATCTAATATAGCCATTACATTAATTGCTTTAATTCCATAGGAAGCTATAGAGTGTGTGATAGAGTTAGAGTCCCCTGGTCTAATGAACGTGTTTGTACAGACTGGGATCAACCACTCACTGGAGAAATCATCAACAGTTCGGGTATCAGTTGGGAAACTGTTTGATACATTAGTAGCAAAGGATCTATTAACAACTGAGAAATTAACATCAGGGTAAGCGGAATTACATGTACATGTATATGGTCTCTCTTAATGGACGCTCTCTATAGCGTACACCTCCATTTAACGGACAGCACCTAGTGTACCAATTACATTCCTTACTGTATAAAATAACCTCCACATAAAGGACACCTGTATAACAGAGACACTTTCAAAGTGTCCATTATATAGAGGCTAGTCTGTATACAATATATGTACATGTAATTGCTTTATATAAATGCACATAGCTAGACCCCATTGTGTTTATTAGTGTTCAATGGGTCGTAGAACATGTGCTATATTAATGACTGCTGGTCAGATATTTCGCTGACACTATGATACTAATGATGAATAGAGTTAGATAGTAGAGTCTGACACATAATAATAATAACAACAACAACAAATAACCTACATGTACATGTAGTTGTTGTGATTTAAAATATAATTGTTTGATTGATTTATAGTTAAGCTGCTACTGTACATGTATATTGTGCCATATTCCATGCGATGTATCTTGGAGAATATCAATGAATGATAACAATTAATAAAACTTGACTTGTTCATGTGTGCATGACATATTGCATTTTTACGACCTGGGGGCTTCGCCCCCAGGTCGTTCCTATAATTGATTTCACCCACGTGCGATATATATATATTTGTATATCCACACTTACATTTCTTCTATACATGTTGTATTGGAGAAATAACAAGCTTTAGCAACCACCCGCCCACGCTACGTAAGTGGGTGTGGTCACGGCAAACAAGATGGCGGCTTGCACATGGGACAAAGTTATGAACTTTCTAACAGCGAAAGAACATAGAGATACTGTCTAAAGACTTCTCTAGAAGCATTAGAAGGTAGAGAGAACCTTTATAAGTCTTAATAAGAACCCAGTTGTACTTGCAAGGTGGTGAAAACAATTATAGGAATATTTTTACACTAATACGCTTGTTTGTTGGGATGGTTGGTGGTGATTATTTGACTTGTAATGTATTGGAAAAAAGAAAAGGGGGATCACTGGGACCTGCTTAATAATCCTTCTTTTTGGTATTTGTGTTTTATGATTTTTTTGGTATTTCGAGATTTTGAGAAGTCATCTAATAATATTTTTGGTACTTTAGAATTTTATACATGTTGAATTGCTGAGCAGTGCCAAAGCACTGCATCAGTTGCATGGCCCCAGATCACCCCCAGTCAGTAGTAGTAGTTGATTCCTTTTATAGTCAGTGATTTTATTTGATATTGCACTTGTGGGGCTGCAGTGTTACTGTAGATAACAGGAAATGATACCATCACCATGGTAACAGTGATACGTTATATCAGTATCATATTTCATGCAGTGTCCCTCCCCTTTTATAATACGCTTACCTTTTAGCTTTAAAAGAAATTTTAAAAGACCTAGATCAAAAATCTCCTAAACTCCCTCTAGATCTAACAGTAGCTATACTTCATTTATTTGGAAAAAAGTAAAAGGGGATCACTGAGACCTGCTGCCTTAATTTCTTTTTTTTGGTATTTTTATAATTTTTGTGGTTTGTCAATGACTTTATTTTTTTGGCATTTTTAAATTTTGAAAGTTAAGTTTAAATTGTAAGGCCTAATGCTGGCACTGCCTGTGCAAGGCACTGCATTTGGTGCATGACCAGTGCACCAGTCGCATTAGCTGCATGGCCCCAGGTCACCCCAATCAGTAGTAGTAGTTGATTCCTCTTATAGTTGGTGATTTTATTTGATATTTCGCTTGTGGGGCTGCAGTGTTTGTTTAGATAACAGGAAATTCCACTGTCATAGTAACAGTAAATAATACACACAAGGACATCTGCATCTGTTTACCGTATAGTGGTTATATTTCACTGGAAATAAATTCCTTGAATTTCGCATTTTCATTAAATTTGCGAAAGTAAATTCCACAAAAGAGGTGTGGCACACTAGGAAAATGGCTGCAGACGCTAGGATTCGCAAAAATTTATACCAACAGAATAAAGCCCCTATATGGTATCTGATTACCTTTGCATTAATTCTTATGTTTTATTAGATGTATTTGTGCTGCAATGAGACATATAGTGCCCATTTTAACTCTTCGTGTCGTGTCCTTTTTTGAAACTGTCAATTTGAAAAGAATAAGCACATAGTAAAACATTTTACCAAAATGAAAGGTAAAAAAAAAAAAAAGGTTTTTTTTTATCTTGAGTAAAATAATTTAAAAAATTTTTGATTCCGGTATGAGCTCCAGAGCTAATAAAAAGGAAGTGCATCTAAAAACATCTAAAGGGGGCTTGCTGGAGCTTTTTATGTTGTTCCAAAAGTTATCTGTTGTTTTTTTCTGTTTTCTTTTATGTTTTTGTGATTTTTGTGCTCCAGCTCACCCCCAGCAGTAGCCTGTTAATTCAATTATTTATAGCCGTGTGTAATTATGTTGTGAGGCTATCGTGGGACGTTAGTGTTTATTATTACCGTATAGAAGGAAATTTTGGAGGGACTAAATTTTGGCGAATTGCTAAATTTTGGTGATTGGCGAATTTTAATTTGGCGAATTTGTGGCCACGTGCCATTGAGCATGCGTATAATGGCTCAAAATGGCGAATGTTTATTTTGGCGAATGGCTATCAAAACGCCAAATTCGCCAAATTTAACTACCTCCAAAATTTCCTTCCATACGGTATCTACTCTTGATCAGACATGGGGTCAATTACATGTACATTCAAATGTAATCTATTACAATTACTAGTACCAGAAAATTTTTGATATTACTATTACATTACTTGACTAAACTAAAGTAATTATATTATATTACTATTACTTGACAATCAATTCCTATTACTATTACTATTACTTTATTATCGTAATTGGATTATATTACTGTTACTTTTATGTGAAGGTACATGTACATAAGTATAAGCTTTTTGTTACAAAAATGTGCTCCTACACATGACTAAGCAACTTGAATAGACTCGGGTGTGCCACAAAGTTCTTCCTGACAGTGGCACTGACAAATTGATGCTTAATGATTTCTATGAACTGTCAAGTGCAGCATGTACAGTACAGTGCGAAAAAAAGATAAGTAGCTACTCTACTTTTGCATAGGTACCGTATACTGGGAAATTTTCGAGTAGCCAAATTTTCGCGAATTTCGCGTTTTTTGCTCCGTCGCGAAAATAAAAATTGCGAGATTCTAAATTTCCATTGCCACGTGGTGGAGTTTACAGGCTATTCGCGAAAATATTATTTCGTGAAATCTTACAAATGCAAAATTCGCGAAAATTTAGCGACGTGAAAATATCCCAGTATACGGTAGTTTGCTACTCCTTCGTTGTACATGCGCAAACCCACCAGTGGTAGTAGTGCGCGTGGTCAGCAGCAGGACAGTAGCTCGACGGTGAATCGGGCGAAAAGCCTCCTAAACAGCCTTCTAACAGCAAAGAGCAGCAATAGAGATGCACTTGGAGAGCACAGACAGCCAAGAGAAGCATCCACAAGTCATTTGAGAGCCTCTAGAGTGCGTGAGCGCTTGCTACTACAGAACATGTGACTGGGCAGTACCGCAGTACTTCCTGGGCGTAGCGCGGCGAAGAGTAACGAAGTAAATTACTACCTACACACTACCTGCGTACTACTGTTGCTACTTATACTTTTTTCGCCTTCTACTGTACATGTACATGTATGTAATCAACACCTATTACATCATAATTTCTATTACAATTACTATTACTGAGAGTCTATTTCATATTACTATTACTGTTACAGTGGATTTCGGTTTTTTCAATTACTATTATATTACCATTACACCAATATTTGTAATCATTACTATTACTATTACCCCATGTCTGCTCTTGATAACAGGAATTGTACAGTCAATTTGTCAAATTTTACCACTTCATTTTTTACGACCTGGGGGCATTTCTAGAAAGTAGAGGGAACCTTCATAAGTCTTAATAAGTGCCCAGTTATGCATTTAAGGTGGTGAAAACAATTATAGGAATATTTTTACACTGTTAGGCTTGTTTCTTTTAAAATGATGCCAATAATACTTTTTTATCTGATATGTGTTTTATTTATTAATAATTATAAATGTTTTTATGATGATCAACACAGCACATTTTTATAATAAAAATGGTAAAAGGGGGCTTGCTGGTGCTATAGGTATATAGTTGAAACAGATTTTAGTTTTTGTTGTTTTTTGTTTTTATGATTTTTTTGTTATTTTGTGCTCCAGCTCACCCCCAGCAGTAGCCTGTTGATTCAATTATTTATAGCCGTGTGTAATTATGTTGTGAGGCTATCATGGGACGTCAGTGTTTATTATTATCTACTCTTGATAACAGGAATTGGTTGTATGTTACAACATGTGACATATTTTTATGTACACATATAATGTCGATTACTGTTTACTTTCATTATTATTATTACATGTATAATGTGATGTACATGTACATGTGTGTGTATTTTCAATAAATGCTAATATAAATTCTACCCATTTGTAGAGTTTATAGCAAGGTAACTTATTGGAATCATTTGGTTTTTTAGAATTGATCTATTTTGTCATCTAGTACATGCATGTACATGTATGTTCAATTCAATACTTTATGTTTTAGTAAATTCATGTCCTTTTTGTACAGTGCTCTTGCATGTAATGTACCTAATATCTCCTCTCTCTCTCCCTCCTTCTCCCTCTCCCCCCCTCCTCCTCCCTCTCCCCCTCAGGTTACAGGTGATGTTAGAATGTGGTGAGGATCTTGAAGTTGATATTCCAAAGGTGTGGGATTTCTTTGCTGAGATAGTAGCGCCGTTAGTGTCCAGTAGTAACCTCCCACTCAATAATTATGTTAAATTATTACGTGAGGCTAACATCGAAGAGAGAAAATTATCAAGAAATGTAGCGAGGTTAGTTAGTGCAGGGAAAATGCTGTTTTAAAATAATACTTTATTTTTATAAGAAAAATATTTTTGGCTTTAAAAATTAACTCCAAAATCTTGAGCTAAACTGCCAATTTTCTTTTTCATTTAATTTGTTCTGTAATACCGTACGGTTGGTAATATTCGAGGGTCCAAAATTTCGTGTTTTCTCCAAAATGTCCTTAGAAGCTAATATTCGTGGGTACAAATATTCGTGGATGGCAGTTAGCAAACTTCTTTTCACTTGAATCTACTGGACTAGTTTCCAATACATGGCTTATGGTGGAATATGGAGTAATAGACAAGGACTTTGGCTCCTCCACTGGCTTGGAAATGGCAGTTAGAGCTCTGCATGGCCCATTAATTAGTTTTTATTTGTAGGTGGGTAGGGGTTAAAATTTTGTGGATAAAAACTAACCACGAAATTAACGAAAATTAATACCCCACGAAATTTACCAACCGTACGGTATTAACACTGATCAATTGTGTACTGATTGTATGTAGATGTACATGTATATTTGTTCTATCATTGCTTTGTTCTGTTTCTAGAACTCTTAAGTATTGTGTTGATCACTCGGGCAGTAAAGAGAAGGTGTGTCAGCTATGGAGAGGGTGTGGTCTCAGATGGACTGAGATTGGAGTATCGGCAGATGATGTAGTTGGATTTCTAAAAGACGAGGTATTAATATATTCAGTAGATCAAGAAATACTTTATTTTGAACTGAATTTGATGTACATGTAGCTTTACTGTTGATGATTAGTTGTTTGATTGGCCACTTAAATTAAATACCCTGTACTGTATACACATGTGCATCTAATGTAGGGACTTTGGCCAGATTTTTGGGTAACTTTGAAAATTTGTAAAAAAAATCCTGTTTTGATCGGAATCAGTTCAAACTTTTTAAACACAACATTAGAACATGTATATGTATCAGGAAAAATTGTAAAAATGGAGAATTCTTTACTTTTCAATTTCAATTTTGGCAAAATTTGGCCTGAGACCGTGTGCTATAGTACAGGGACTTTTACCCAATTTTGGAGAATTTTTTTAAAAATTCGTAAAAAATCTAAATTTGATCGGATTCAGTTCAAAATTTAAACACAACATAAGAACATGTATATGTATCAGGAAAAATTGTAAAAATGGAGAATTCTTTACTTTTCAATTTTGGCAAAATTTGGCCCGAGACCATGTACTATAGTACAGGGACTTTTGCCTGATTTCGGAGCAACTTTAAAAATTTATTAAAAATCCAACTTTGATTGGAATCAGCTTAAACTTTCTACACAACATAAGTACATGTATATGTATTAGAAAATGTTATAAAAATGGAGGATTCTCTCCTTTTCATTTTTGGCAAAATTTGGCCCGAGACCGTGTAAAAAAATTATTATCTCATTTATTAACCTGCTATTTATCCCTGTGTTATATCTATTTTGTAAAAAAAAATTGTTTATTTAAGGGCTCAGTTCCCTTCTACACTGTACTATAGTACAGGGACTATTGCCTAATTTTGGAGCAACTTTAAAAATTCAAAATTACCAAAAATTTAAATTAAAAATAAAATTACCGAATCTACAATTCTCTTTTATTATTCCCAGGGTGTATCATTTCTTGACTCTACTCCAGCTCCTTCAGCTGCTGATTCCAGTGGATCAGAACTCCACTCACCAGACAACCCTCCCTATCTTAATGACCTCTCATTATTATTCGGATCAACAGTTCACACCAATGATGATATATTAGACTTAATTGAGGTACAGCTCCTTATACATCTACTGTCTGTACATGTAAATGTAGCACCATAGTAAATGTGGTATAAGTAATTTTTGTATAGCAATGAAGTACACTATATTTAGAATTGCTAACCATTTTCTTGTCATGTATTAATATGTTGAGTTAACCTTTTTTTCAGTGTCTATTTGAAGCTTGTTAATACATGTACTACAGTTGTACATGTACTTTGTTAAGATTAATGTTCTTCTTTTTAGAAAAAAGTGTCGCGGAGTGAGTCAAAATCGGAACAGTTCATTAGAACATTGTCAAGAGCCACTGTCGGTGGATCCACAACTGGTAATAAATAGATATATAATATTTTATTATTATTGTTATTGTTATTATTATTATTATTGTTGTTGTTGTTATTATTATTGTTATTATTGTTTTTATTATTTATTGTTATAGGTGAAGGTCAATCTACTATATATAATGATGATATGTTTGCTAAGCGTCTTCCTTTATTAAAGAAGTGGGTGGATCAGGAGGAGGAGCTTCAAGTTGTAGTATTGGATGCTATCCAATTGGAAGTGAATAGATTAAGACATCCACCAGGTACTGTACACGTACATGTACGTACACATTAATCCTGACTTCTACTATTTTTTGTATGGGCCAGACCTGTGCATATTGCTTGTATATGTAGGTTAGATAGTAATAGATACCAATTTCAAGGATGTTATGGATTAATTCCAAAGCATTTCATTAGCAAAGTAGTACTTTTGTATTGGGTTTTGACATCAGCAAATGTCCACACAATAGTAGGCAGGTGCTGGAAATGTTTTTAATGCTTTTAGCTGGTGTAGCACTGTAGCCATCGCCATTATAGTGTTTCAATTTAGTAAAGCCATTCTTTTGTGTACAATTTACTTAATAATGACACTCTCTCTCTCTTTCTTCTGTAGGACTTCTACATAAAATATTCAGTTCCCTCTATTCTATAGAAGTAATATCAGAGTCGGCTTTCTTAAACTGGAGAGACAGAGGTAAAGAGAAGGCTGGCCGTGGGGTGGCTTTACAGTCAAGTAAAAAGTTCTTTAATTGGTTGGAACATGCAGAAACTGAGAGTGACAATGATGTAGGATCATAAAATCACACATTATTAAATTATGTTTCTATGTATATAATGTGTGTCTTTCTCTCTCCTTCCAATGAAAGAATATAAATTTATTATTATTATTATAGTAATATATTTATTATTATTTATTTATAATCTCGACTGTTACTATTATTATTATTAACAATAATTATTATTGTTACTTTGTTGCTGTACATTTTCTGTTTTTTTTTTTGATGTGATAATGATAATTTATTGTTTACATGTTTTTGTACTATTATTATTATTGTTGTTATTATTATTATTATTTGTACTTTATTTGTACAACTGGTTCGATGTAATGTTCTGAAAAATTTTGTGATTTTTGGAGAAAGTTATTGTACTTGATGCAGCACAAAAATTAATGATACTTATGAAATTTTTGTAAGTTAAAGCTGCTATGAATATTATTTTATGCTTTCAATTGCCTTTTATGCTATGTATGTTCAAGATTGACTGGATATTCCTATAATCAATTCATTAATGAGTACCTTGTATTGCCAATTCTAATCTTAATCTTTGCAAACATACAGTAATCTACTCTAAAAAAAATCAACAATTTATTGCCAATTTTTGGATATTTTTTCCCCCTAAATTTGTCAATTATTCTCCTTTCCTTGTTGCACTTTATCAATGGGCATTGTTTGTATGAAGTATACCTCATGCCCCATCAGTCCATTCACATTCATTTTCCTACTTTTTTCCGTTACTATGTCCTCCATGCCAATTTTTATAATTCTTTATTTGCTACTTAAAAAAAATATTAATGCTTTCGCTAATGTGTTTTCAACTAGGACACTGTTTTTATTTGATTTTATGCAAGTTAAAATGATACATACTACTATGACAACATTGCACAGAGCAGTGAGTGTGTATATCATAACTTAGTGAATAATTATGAGCATCAGTATACTGTATAGTGGGTAATTTTGAAGGGGATTAAATTTGGCGAATTTGGCATTTTGATAGCCATTCTCCAAAATAAAAGTCAGCCATTTTGAGCCATTACACATGGGAATTAATGAGTTGATTATCACGGGGGCAATAATTGAAAATATTGTTGGGCGAATGGGCGTTAATTGAAAATAAGGAATGCTCAATGGTATGTGGCCACAAATCCACCAATCACCAAAATTTAGCAATTCGCCAAAATTTATAGCCCCTCCAAATTTACCTGCTATACGGTATCTGCTACACCTAATGTAATGTTAGCCTTGCATAGCCAGACCCACCCTCTGCACTTCCTTTTCATATACTGATAATGTGCTATTTTAGGTCCCTCTGTTTGTTTATTTGTTCTTTCCTTGTTGCATCTATCAAATAAATATATTTTCAATGTTTTTTGAGCCGTACATATTTTTCTTTATTAGTCTGCTTGTCATAATTTCTACCTTTGTAGCGGTTACTCATAAAATGTAAGCAGTGCATGTACATGCTGTGTTTGGATGAATGTCCATATTCATACTTTATTTGTCTTTGTCTTTATCATTTCTTGGTGGCTGGTGCATTATTATAATTACCATATAATGCTTTAATTTGGCAGAGTTTTATTTTGGCGATTGGCGGTTTGCAAGCAGAATCGCCAATATTAAAACCGCCAATCATTAATGTGCATGCTCAGTAATGCACGTGTACACAAAAATCGCCAAATTAAAAACCGCCAATTACAATTTTACAGCAAAATTGCCAAAATAAAGCACCGCCAAAATAAAGCACTATATGGTATACAGTTGTGACATGGTTCCACATTAATTTGTCTACTGTATAATTCTAAGATTTTCCTTTAGTAATTATCCTAAGTCCCAGCCATGCTTAATGATGCTTTAAGCAGTACAATGAAGGATACATGTACAGGATTATTATGTATCAATATCATTTACATAGTTAAGTATCACTAATTCATTTTTTGCTGCAAAAGTGGAAGGATAATCATTATTGATTTAAGGTTTTTAATTATGAAGTCTACGTATGTTCCTACTTCCTATATCCACTTCCTGTCGGCTTTTCTTATAAAAGTAAGTGAACAGTGAATCAAGCGTCATTCTTGGAGGAGACCTAGTAAAGTTAGCCTCCAAAAAGATCATGAAGATTATAGCTCTTGTTGCAGCTCTTTTCCTCATTTGTTCAATATGTGAAGCTACAGTTGACAGTCCTCCAGTTGATGATTCTGCTGTCAATGATGCTGCAATTGATGATATTGCAGTTGATAAATCTCCAACTGATGTTCCAGTTGATCATAGTGATGTTGCAGATGATGATGATGATTCTGCAAGTGACGATCATTCTGAAGTTGATGATGAATCTGAAGTTGACGTTGATTCTAAAGTTGACACTGATTCTACAGCTGATGATGATTCTGCAGCTGATGATGTTTCAGTTGATGATGATGCTGCTACAGTTGATGGCAGTGATTTTGTCAAAAGCAGTAGTTGCAAGGCAAGCATTAGCACTATCACTATTAATAATGTTATTCTCCATTTTCTTGTATAGAAAGCTAAAAGCTGCACTTATGAATACACAGTTAGCACTAAGATAAAAGGAGGAGAAAAGGTTGACATTACTGCCAATGTTGATATATTCTGTCAATCAGGTCAGCATAATTGTAAAAGGACTGGCGGCATAATGTACAGTGTGCTACTGTGTGTACACATACTCTTTGATTTTGTTGGCTCTTTTTTTGCAGTTTCATTTACTGCAGCATCAGATTCTGCCACTTTTTGCATTGCTGTTTTAGCTATAGGATAGACCTCTATAGTAAGGTCTATATCCTAGCAAAAACAGCAATGAAAAAAGTGGCAAAATTTGATGCTGCAGTAAATTAGTTGGAGGCTGATAGCATTCCATCCAGCATGTTATTAAAGTTTCTTTCACTGTATCTTTATATGCTTGAACATGCAGCATGCAGTCCTGATGTTCTGTAAAGCTAAAAATAATTTTCTTGCATGAAATTACAAAGTTATGTATCATTTCTTTTTTTTGTAGTTGGTGTCTTCAAAAAGCAGAAATCAATCCGCCATTGTATCAATGTTAGGGACACAGTGGTTCGTACTACAAATGAAAAGAAGAAATATGATGCAGAGTATGTGAGAGCATGCATGAAATAGCCAAAAATTAAATTGCAGCTTTAGGAAAAAAAATGTCATAATTATTGGTATTATTTTCTATTTCTAGAGATGTTGTTCCAGTGAAGCAATTAGGTAGATGGTTCTGTTTTGTCCAGAGCTCAACAACTGGAAAGATCCGGGATGTCTTTCATGACAAGAGAGACAGCGAATGGGTCGTTAATTTCAAGAAGAACATTGCCAGTGCCTTTCAAGCCAACTACAAAGGATCAGCAGTTACCAATGAAACTGATTCACAATCAAACCACAAGTCACATTACAAGTAAGATTGCATTAAATATAAAGGATTGACTGAGCCTTGCAAGTCCATATTAGAAAAAATAGCTACAAAATATTTTATTTAAAATAGATCTACTATAGCCACTTCTTGTTTTAGTTGCATGTAACATTATGTCAGTATGTACTATGTATGATTCTTCAGGTATTATTCTGAAGGGAACAAGCAAATACAGGAGAGAAGGATTGACAGGCGTGATATCTCTACTTTTGCTGGTAAAGCTGAGTCCACAGACTCAAAGAGCTCCCTCTACTTTCATGAGAAGGACAAGCTTGAGCTGGATAATAAAAAGAGGATACGATTCTCTAAAGGTAAAGCAGTCCTTGAGCTTGGGCCAGATCCAGAAGAGAAAGCATCTACTGCTTCAAAGAAGAATGACAATGATAAAGGAATACCAGCCCTTGGAGCTATTAGCAAATATAAGCTCAAACTGTCTAGTTGTACAGCTCAAACTAATAAAAAAGAAGTTGCAGAAGTCACTGTTGCTCTGGCCAGCCCAGAGTCAATGAGTGACGGTCTATTGGCCAGTATGGATGAAGGTATGTATATTGAATTAAAGGATAAGTAGAGCTTATAGAGTGATTCTTTTTTCTCTTAGATAAGGCAAATGAGGAAGAAATGGAAGACCTTGCTGATGACTTGCCATCTTTTGATGAAACTGTCAAGAGGGTACAGAGAGATGTTGAATCAGAGGAAGCACGTAAATAACATTAACATTTATACCTCTTTTTTAATACTGCAGACTTTTAAAAATATTTATTATTTTATAATTATTTTTTAATAGTGCAACTGATAACTGATTGGAGGAGGATGCTA